AGGCTGTGGATGCATTGTTGAAGCTTGTCAAAGATGTTGAGGTAAAAGATCAGATTCACTCCTTCGCATATTTCTGAAGTATGGTGGTGATTTGATATGATCGATTATCGCCAGCAGAACGGGAATCGCGATAATGGTACAGCTGTGCAGGAGGAGGAGCAAGAGTTGACCCTGGCTGAGAAAATGAAAGAGAAATGCAAGAAAATTGATGGATTTGTTTGGCAAGTCAGACGGAAGAAGGTGATGGAAGATGCAAAAAATCGTTTGGCAAAGTATGAAATTGGCAAGCGACGATCCGACGGAGGGGCGGGAAAGGTGCTCATGCTCGTCGGTGCCACAGGAGCAGGTGAAACCAAAAACATTCTCAATTATGGTCATACTAAAAAAGGGTCACTCGAAGAGTTGTAATCCTGTGTACCTAGGTACAAATTTGGTAGAGGAGTATCTTATTAGTATTAATATGTAATTACTTAACATTAACATTGCAACCTACACAGATCTTTCATTCAGTGCAAGTCAAAGAAAGGTGCACTTCGTTTGGCACTTTTCTGAGATTGTCGAGGGAGTGAATATATACATGACATACATACATGACAAGACAAGAGTCGTTGAAAAAGAGGAAAAGTACTTTCATTTTCCCATTCATGAAAACCATTTACTTCTCAACAGAATAATCCTTTCTGCCAATATCCACACAACATTCCACCTTCAACAAGGACTTATTAAGTCTTCTCGCTACTCGAACTGAGGACTTTCTTTCGAATAGACATCTGGAAACGACGTTCAAGGGCAATGATTAAGAGAACTGTTCCAGTAGCGTAAATCAAAACACTAATAAAATGCGATGAAACTACGCGAGCATGTCACAAAAAATGCAAATGCTACTCTCGATAATCTTCACACTTTTAGCGCCTCTTAAATGCAAATTTGCTCTTATTTTTCTACTTAAAAAAAATTTGACAACAGAATGGAAACAACATTGAAACTTTTAAGGCAAAACAATCATTGCTGTTTCAAACTGTTATCCATGTATTCATCATAGATGCAAATTTACAGATGTCACAGAAACACACGTCCATATCCGTGTCGTGTTCTATGCCTGCATAGCTGTCATGTGCTGAATTCCGGTGTCATCACAGGGTTTTGAGTGAGAGAAAGAATCTGACCAGTAACACATCGCGTCGGCCTGAGCCTCACCATTGTAATGGATATTCCAGCTAGAAGAGAATAGATATATAGAGCCGCTATACCGCCCCATTTTGCCCCCTCACCGTCACCACTATAAAGACACTGCCAAACAAACGGTGAGTGAGCTATGCAAAAAATGACTTCATGTAGTAGTTTACATTTTCACCTTCAACCAAAAAAAATCGGACGCCTCCAATGTTTCCATGTTACTCTGTTTCGTTCATGAAAAACTCGAAGCAAAATACGAAAAGTCGATGCTTTCTTATTTTTCTTCCTGTGCTTGAAAACCACTTTAGAGAGCGCCGCCGTGCTTGAAAATTTGCATCGGCCGTGGGCGGTAATAATAGGGTAAAGAGCCGATAGATATCTATATATATACATTATTATTGGGCGTCTGTATGTCCGCTGTACCATGTACGCATGCGCGGCGCCTTCTGTCTCTCTATCTGGAGCTCGCACTTTCCCTCCGGCCATTGCGGCTGTCGGATCCATTCTCGAGAAAGAGAGTGAGAGGAATTGTATGTCTTGTGCATTCCCCCATCCCCACCGCTTAGGGGGTGTTCACACTTCTATGCTGACGTCCCCGCTTACAACAATTGGGAGTATCCTTTCATATCCCTCTGCAGTAAGGATGACCTCCTTGCCGGGATAAGATCTATCGATCGGAACCCCGTCTTCGTATTGATCGGCACTCTCACAAGGAGACTGCCTAGGATGAAAGCGGCGGGATTCCATTTGGATGAGATAGAACAGGATCGCTAACCCTTGGATCGGAATGACGCATCCGGCCGCGTAGTAGCAATCCCATTTCTCAAGCGTGTTTTCACTCATAGGCCTATATGAAATGTGGCAGAGATGAACTTGATGGACGATACGCACGGGGTCGCGATCGGGATAATTGTGCTGTTCGATGAAAATCCGTATCGTAGGCGTGAACACCCCTGTGGGTAAGGAGGGAATGCGCGAGGCGTACTATGTCCGAGCGTCTGCTTCTTTGAGCGTCAATAGGGCCGCTGATTAGACTCATGAATACCTAAAAATGCTATACGCTTAGCCTCGGCTGACCCGGATTTCGTGGATGTCTTCCAAGGGTTGGGGTCTTCGTCTCGCTCTCGAACTCGCAGTTTCTTTCGAGCTGCCGACTAAACTCGGGAATGTCCGAGAAACAATTCGTGGAAGGCTTCTGCGTGTTGGGATGCCCGTCTCACGCGCTCAAGCTCGCACTTTTTCTCCGGCCTTCGCGACTGTTGGATATGGTTCTTGAGAATGAGAGCGAGAGTCAGGGTACGCCTTCCACACCCCCCCCCCCTAAGAAAGGGGGGTTCTTGATACGAACTTCCACACGGGACAACTCACGTACAACACTTGCAGTCCCGTTTTCCTTCGCTCGAAGGAGAGTAACTCCCAAGTGTGAAAGCGACGGGATCCTATCTGGGTGGGATAAAACAGGGGGGCTTATCCTTGGATCGCCAGGACGTCGCCGGTCGCGTCGTTACCATCCCGTTTCCATATTTGTATTTTTTACTCATAGGTTTGCATGAAAAGTGATGGTAATGGACTTTACAGACGATGCGGGCCGGGTTATGATCAAGAGGGAAAAGTGTCGATCAGTGCGAGAACAGGATTCCGGTCAATAAAGGGATAGAGTAGCTGCTACCTATAGCGTTGAGAGAGCCACTGAGTTTTAGGGCCGCCGAATGAACCTGGGAAGTCCTGTCAAAGAGTTCGTGGAAGTCTTCCACGGGTCGGCTAGTCGAATATGGTTTGGTTAAAATTTGCGTTGCCCCTCGCCCCATTTTGCTCCACCTTCTGTATATATATTATGCTTGGGCGACTGTATGTCTGCAGTATCATGTGCGCATGCGCGGCGCCTTCTTCTGCCCGACTCTGGGTGTCTCGGAGGGAAAGTGCTCCGACCATTGCAGCTCTCGGATCCATTCTCGAGAACGTAATAGCCCCAGGGGGTAGGGGGGAGGCTAGAGTTTAGATGGCATAACGAAAGAAAAACGATGGAGCAGAGGGAATCGAACCCGGGACCTCCTAATTGACAGGCAAGTACTTTTCTACCATACCACCGAGCCAAATACGATCGGAAATTTTTCTTTCCGTGCCATCCCCAATACTACAACGGGAGAGATGCATTCTACGCACACCCCCTGCTCCCGATACGGATCCGGGGGTCCGATACAGACTTTTCAGCAGGGACGTGTAAAACGTGCCCGCGTATTACAATTGGAGTTCCCCTTTCATCCCTTAAGGAAGGATGACTTCCTCGCCGGGATAAGATCTCGTCATCATATATTTCATCATCAGATCACATATTTAACAGGATCTCCACCCCTTCATCGATCAGAACCCAGTCCGTTTATTGATCGGCATTCTCACAAGGAGAGCGACTCCCGAGGGTGAAAACGGCGGGATCCCACCTGTATGGAACAGGACCCCTTGGATCGGAAAGATGCCGTCGGCCGCGTAGTAACCATCCCGTTTCTCTGGTGTATATTTCACTCATGGGCCTACAAAAAAAGTGGTGGAAATGGACTTCACCGACGATACGCACATCGTCGAGATCGATATCGGATAAGAGTGCTGCCTGACAAAAGTCCGTATCGTAGGCGTGAACACCCCTTACTGCTCAGAGCGTTCATGGGGCCGCTGCCTGAAGGTCCGAAAATGCTACACGCTTAGCCTAGGCCGACCCAGAGTTCGTGGATATCTTCCACAGGTTGGGTCTCCGTCTCGCTTTCGAGTGAACAGTTTCTTTCGAGTCTTCGCGACGGTCGGATTCGTTTTCGAGAACGGGAGAGAGAGTGGCTGCTGCCTAGTGTACAAATACTGACTGAACTCCTGGATTCCCGACAATATTCAGGACCGTGGAGAGGAAGGGGGGGGGGGGGGGGGGGGCGGGCCAATGAAGTATGTACTATTGTTTATTAGCGTAGCGTTCGTTCACGTGAAAAGTTCAAACACTCGGTGAGTGTGTTTGAAGCTGCAGGGAGGGGGGAAGAGTGAAAAGGGGGCCCGTACGTGAATATTGCTTCCGGCCTCACGATTCATTATGGCAACCCTATGTTACACTCTTAGCCTAGGCTAGAAATGTCAAACTTGACCAAGCAGCCGGATGAAACCCTTCAGGAGTGGTTGGGCCCACAGTCGCACATCTTGCACTAAAGTATCCATTGCTAACAGGTTGAAATAGTCTACGCTTTTTCAAAACCAACTGCTGAAGAGGACTTTGCAGGCTGGATGAAATCAAATAGTTGGCAGGCAGTTTGACGTCCATGGCCTAGACCGACCCAAAGTTCCCCTTCAACGGGATGAAAGGGGACTCCAAGGGTTGTACGTGGGGACACGTAAAGAATGGGCTGCTGCCTATAGCGATGAGCCACTGAGTTTTAGGGCCGCCGAATGAACTCGGGATTTCTTACTGAAGAGTTCGTAGAAGTCTTCCACGAGTCGGCTAGTCCCCTGTATGACGCCACAGGGCCGGAAAAAAAGGATTGATGCAAGGCTGCCTTGACCTATAGCGTCATAGCGGTTGATATCAGTACGCGTTGCGCTGCAACCCCGTTGTTCGTCCTGACCTGTTAAAAATAGTGCCTTTCGTAAAAATTGTATTTCTGCACAACCCTTTTTCAAAACGTACTTAAGCATTTGCATGAAAGTCAGAAATAGTCAATAGATGGAAGTTCGTCTCCAAGAAATATGGCTGATCAATCTTGAAAAATGAAAAATTCAAATTTCTGAGTCAGTGATCCAGTTTTTTTTTCAGGCCTCGCTGTAGCTCCTAAATAGAGAAATTTGGTAATCTTTAAGGCATTGGAGTAAGTTGGGTTTACATAATTTTTGCTGATCTACACGTAATACTTCATATTGAAACAATTGTTATTTTTTCTACCTCAGGGAAGAGTACTCTCATCAACGGGATGGTGAATTATGTGTATGGAGTAAAGTATGAAGACAATTTCCGCCTGAAGTTGATTGTGAATGAAGTTAACTCCCGACCTCACATGCAGACGATGTGGATCACAGCATACGTCCTACACAAGCAGCATGGATTCGCATTTCCTCATACCTTGACGATCATTGATACCCCAGGATTTGGAGATACTGAAGGCATCAAAGCAGATGAGGAACTGAAGAATCAGATAAGGGAGTTCTTCTCCAATGGGGGCAACATCGGTGTGGATCAGCTTGATGGAATCTGTTTTGTTGTCCAGGCTTCCTTAGCTAGACTGACACCCACACAAAAGTACATCTTTGATTCCATATTGTCGGTGTTTGGAAGAGATGTTGAAGATAACATTTACGTGCTGACCACATTTTCGGACAGCAAACAGCCATATGTCCTGGAAGTTATCAAACAAGCAGAAATCCCCTACCAAAACCTTTTCAAGTTCAATAATTCTGCTCTTTACACTCGTAATGATGAGGATGGAGATGATTTCGACAGGGGCTACTGGGAAATGGGCACCAAAAGCTTTCTAAGATTCTTCAAAAGGTTTTTGAAGTCGAAACCGGTTAGCCTGACTCTGACAAAGGAAGTGCTGAAGGAACGGCGACGCTTGCAAACTGCTCTTCAGGGCATTCAACCGAAAATAATTGATGGTAATATAAGATAAGAGCTGAATATTGAACATAAGATAGGAAAAAATATACAGTTTCCAAATATTCTGATGTTATGGGAAAAAAGACCACAAATACAAATGAAAATAGGGTTCGCATTGCAAGATTGCTTTTCTAATGAATGAACAATCATCGATACTGGGGATGAGAAACTTTGCTTCAAAATCACTCTTTTTTAGCTTTTCCCTTCTCTAAAGAAATGGGGAAATGTCCACATTTCCCCTAAGGGTGCATTATACTAAATCCTACATAACATGTCACTCTATATTTGGACGCTTGGGTAATTCAGCATATTTTTCGCTGCAGGACATTTTGAATTTTTGGCTTGAAACCAATAATTTACACAGCTGGTGTTCTTTCGGAATTGAACCTGAAAATCACTTCAATCGAGTCTCTTTGCAAGTTAGTGGAATCTGGAAGCGAAATGAAAGCGAGAATGAAAGGCCGTCGGTTCCCATGAAGCGAAATTCTCACCAGTCATCGGAAGACAGCTCAGAATTACTCCAGCGCGCTTAGTGCAAGGGACACGATCACATCAGTTAACTTGAAATTAAAATGCACTCTATGACAGAAATAAGGACACCCTGCAAAATACGGTTGGGATTGCGCATCGTAACCCATTGTTTACAGCTGGTAAAGTAATGCATCTTGGCGGCGGCGACTCCGGCACTATTCTCTCCAGTGTAGAGAAAATCATTCCTGAATCCTGCTTAATCACAGAAAAATTAAGTACGCCTGTGACAACAGATCACAACTCCGCCCTTCGGTCATTCTAAGCAGCTTACTATAGCAGAATGTAACTAGTGGGGTATAGCGAATATTTTCAGGTTTTTGTCCCTTCCAAGTCTTCAAAAAAACTTATATGAAGACATTCGCAAAAGTTTACAGAAGGTCGATGGGATGAATCAGAGCATGAATCATACGTGTCTCACTACAAAGTATGTACTCTCAAGGTTTTGAGCTTCTGAAAAGCTTCTTATTGAGAATATTGATGTCAGTTTTTGGTACAACAATTTAGATGGTGTGCGTGTTTCAGAGTTCCGCAATTTGTTAAGCGTTTCAATTTACTATGGATAAAAAATAAAGAGGAGTCGTACTAAAGCCAAATGAGGATAACATGACTACAATGTAGGTCATGATCAAAACCGGATTCATTCTAAGATGTTTTAATGTATCTCTCCATCCCCGTAGGCAATTTATCGTCCAAAGATTCTTAATCCAATGCATTATTTTTGTTTAAGCCTGTGAAAAGGAAAATCCTAAAAGTCTAAGTTAGAAATTGTTCTACAATGGAAACAGTGTATGTCTTGCTTTAGCTTTAGGGATGCTGGAACAGCTTAGACAAGAACATGCAGCATTGAAACAGCACGAAGCAGAGTTGGGAACAGAGGGGAGGAGGTTGAACGCTCAAGGTGTGGTGAAGGCCCTCATCAATGATTTCAACCGGGAACGAGTCAAAATTCTGGACTTGACGAAGCAAGCGCATGCATGTTTGCAGAAACTCGATGAAATAGCATTGAAACCCGATCCCTTGGGCTTTACCGATTACCTTGACCTCTTGATTGAAACCGAGAGAAGGGAGGGAAAGATAGGCCACGTCCAGAGAATAAAGTACCTGGAAGACACCCGAACCAAGGCAGCTTTGTCTGAGAAGCTAAAGAAAGACTTCGACCCATTCGAGGAATACATGAAAGAGTTCGAGGAGGAGGGATTCGACATTTCCCTGTTCGATCCGGATACTGACACCGATGATGATGAAGACGAGCCTTCCGCCGAAAATGTTACAGCTGATGAAGATGAACATCCTAAGGAACCTCGCGGCGGTATTTTCGATTCGATGGCAAGGTGGCTCGGAGGAAGCAAACCCAAGTTAGTTATGTTTACTACGTTTTTGCTGGAAAAACCTATGCTTGGGCCCCCATCAAAAGTTCTGAGATACTCCAAAACTATGAAGCCAATTAGGATGACATTCTGCATGAACATATAACAGTATTACACTAGAGTAAAAGAGTAGTTTTAGTATAGTCTATTCGGCAATAAAGGACACCTTGGTTGAGGACAAAAAATTTGATTGATGAGGCGGGGAGAGGCAAGGAGTCAAAGAGATATGTGTATATTTGGCCTCAGGCAGGTCATGGGGGGCTAAAGGTTTATGACACGCTTCAGTGTTGTCAGATAAAGGACAGCACCTTTCAGTCAGCTGAGAGAGATCCATTGGGATCCCCCTTCACCCGATTGAACGAAAGAAAGTCGGCAACCCTGATTTTCAAGGAAAATCCCTCCATTCACCATGTCTCAGGTGAGGAACATAAGTGATATTTCATGACCGAGGCTCCCCTTTGACCTGTCACATCGATGCCGCAAGTGTGTCTTTTGAGGCCGAATAGACTATAATATTCACTGAGTAGTTTTCATGCAATAGTTTTCATTTTTCAGAAAGCATGGAACTGTCAAATTTGTATTTTCGTCCGATGACTTCAAGAGGGACCTAAAGCAGGAGCAATCACTCGTCATCTTACAGGCAGCTTCTGGGGACAAATCTCCTTCATGTGCAACTGTCTTTCGTTCGCTTGCTGAGTTCAAGAGTTGGAGAATGAGCTTTGAAGATAAGCCCCGCTCAGGACGGTTGCCAACAGAAGTCACCGCGGTCAACATCCCCACTGTGGAGAAGCTATTCCAAGTTGATGCCCGAGTCACCTTTGGGTCACCAAGGGTTGTGCTCGCTGGGTCCCCCACAACCTATATGAGGAGCAGAAGGAGACCACCATCTGATTCCCAACACTTCGAGCGCGTTTAAACTTGACAGGTGGGCTCTCACCAGGGAGCGCCCAAACTGAGGACTGCTGCTTGGTCTCCGGGTCAAACTGGTTGATACAGTTTTCATCGCCAGTAATCAGTTCCCACTCTTGCTTAGACCTGCCTCCGTTGAACTCATGGTGCATGAATTCGCACCAACCAACACGTGCCTCCTTTTGCTCCTCAGCGGTTGTGGTGGACCCAGTGAGCACAACGCTTGGTGACCCCTAAGTGGTCGTGCAGGATGGTGGTAACTGCTGCCGATCCAATACCCAGGGTCTTCCGCAAGGTTTCATAGGTGTCTCAGGCATCCACCTGGATTAGCTTCTCTACAGCGGTGATGCTGGCCGGAGTGATTGCTCTTGGCGGCCGTCCTGAGCGTGGCCCATCCTCAAAGCTCATTCTCCTGCGCTTGAACTCAGCAAACCAAACGAAACACAGTTGCACGTGAAGAAGCTTGGTCCCCCAAAACTGTCCGTAAGTTGGTGAGTGACTGCTCCTGCTTTAGGCCCCTCTTGAAGTCATAGAAAATCATCGGTTGAAAATTTTAATTTGACAGTTCCATGCTTTCTGAAATATGAAAACTACTCAGTGAATATTACTCAAATTACTCACTTGCTCCAATGTAATACTGATGTAATAATAATAATGGTTGCTTATTTACCTCTGCGGAATTATGGTGTGTCCAGTGCCCTGGCAAGTCAATGAATAAAAGGAAGGAAAGTATGAATAAACAAATCAAGGGAATAAAAGACAATGGTCAGGAAATTGTCGGAGGAGAAAAGAGTTAGCTAGTGATGGAGCTCAAATTGAAGTTTCTGCAATCTTGCGGCGTCCCAGATTGTCCCAAAGGATGTGTTGCACACTTGGAAAGGTACTATTACGATACCTCTCGGTTCTGGCCTTAGGCATGCATGTTGTTGAGTGGGCAAAATACTGGAGTTGTCTGCAGCGGCGTTGATATAAGGATTCCTTGTCGTTACAAACGCATGAAAGCCCGTGTCAGATGCGGTGAGCCGCGCGATGAACCTTCTCCAGCTGATCGGAGAGATTTCGGTAGCCCTGGTTCATGCTGGAGTGCTCGGCACGTGGACGAAAGAAGCTATGGTACGCTCTGACAAAGTGTATTTTTGATGCACCTGCTCGTCTCAGGGGTTTCAAGGCATCGTAACTCGAGAGAGGAGACCATCTCGTGTACTTCTTGGTTCCATTTCAAGTTTTCCTGGATCTGGACCCTGAGGTACCCTTGTTTGGCTCTCAATTTCCATTTGTTGGGTGAAGTGGTCCTGCTTGGGAAGTGATTTTCGGAAGTCGATGATTAGTTCTTGTGTTTTTGGCAGCCTTCAGCCAGAGTCCTCTTTGCTTGCCCAAAATGCCAATGGCATGGACAACTACCTTATATCTTATTAGGTCATTGAGCTTCGAGATGGAAGCAGCGATAGTCGTATCATCAGCATATTTTAGATTGAAAACACTGTCATTCATGCTTCCTAATACATTTGTGCAGCATATGAATGACAGAGATCCTATGATGGACACTTGCGGGACGCCTGTTGTGATGTTGATCTGATGCTGTTCTTTCCGTACATCATAGTGCTCTTTGTGATGCCGTCGATTGATTTGTTCGTACAAAATGTCATTTTAATTGGCCTGATAGCGTTCAAGTATCTGAGAACATTTGTTGGGGTCCACGTATTTCAGCCATATATTCATGACTTTTCTTACCTCTTTTTAATTTACATGTAGGTTCGAAGAGGAGAAGAAAAGGCAGCAGAGGATGATGACTGCTATGATGAACTGGAAAATATAAGGAAGCGATACGTAGCATTCGAGTTACATCTGTTGTTATTAACCCTTTCAGGACCATAAGCATTGTGGGACAGCGACCTTAACTTTAATGACGTGTTTAGGGTGAAAATGACGTGTAGATTCCAAAAAACTT